ACTGATACATATTCTGGGGGGTGGGGGGCTTGGCGTGGAGCTGTTTTCACGGGAATACATCTGATTATGAAGTTGTACTTGTTAAAAATAATTTTATAAATACTCTGAAATGGAAAGAGACACACCCAAACACACCGCCAGTGATTCACAGTGAGCTCTTCGATCACTGTATTTGAAAGACCCGCGGGCCGTTTTAGCCTTTAGAACAGTTAACACTTAACATGATTGAAACCGACATTTTAAACTGTTTTTAACCGAAAACATCCAGTGCTTTCATCATTGGTAACGGCGATATAATCATATCACCGATTTAAAGTAGAATCATCATCATCAAGATTACGGTCTTCTGGGATGATACGCCATATAATTGGAAGGATATATATCCAGCGTTTCGGATGAATCTATTGTTTCCATGTTCATGTTGGAAGAGCGAGACTGAGACCGCAAACATTGATACCCATCTATCAAACTGGATGGCGTCTCACCCCAGAAGACTCTCACCATCACAAGAACACTGTTTCTACGTACAACGAGAATGTCAGATGTCGGGTGGATTGGTCGGACCTCCCTAACAAGGAACAGACACGGAGCAATGTTCTTCCGTACTTGTCAGACTTCCTGTAGTACTGGATCCCGCTGGCCCGGATGTGGTGTACAGTCTGCTCCTGTTATAGAGGCTAAACCGGGTACCGACAGTCGCTGAAGGAGATGCCTCGGTGTTGCAGAAGCTTGGGAGAGACTGACAGCTGCATCGTATGTATCTGCTCACACAAACTTATTGATTGATCAGTAACTGTCAGATGACAGGTCCACAGTCTCTTCCAAAACAGTTCCTCCACTTAATGTGATCTTCTGTTTTTGGAAAGAGACTGTCCAGGAAAAGTGATAATGTGGTAGTTTTTCCATTTGCTTTCCACATCGCAGTACAACAGCCGTTCAAACCACTCTGGTCACGCCTGTTGCTATACGAACTTGAACCATCTCGAGCATCATTTGTTCTGTGCTTCAAGTCGCTGCTGATGACGCTGCTTCCGGCATCAGTTTTTGGTTTTTGGTGTCTCTCTTCGTCTGATGCCTACCCTTTGACCTGTCCAGCAAGGGAGGCCCTGCCAGTAGCTACGCTACCGCTGGTATAGCTCTCAGGGTCCTTGGCATACTCAAACCCCCTCACCACGATAAGGTGGAGGTGGAGGGGGACAAACTTATATACAGCTATAATAAAATACAGATATTCTTTAATTGCTACATCTTCTTAGATTAAATGTCATTACCATTCTGCAACATATATGTTACAACGAAAAAAAAAAAGACTTTAGTCTGCAAGAGAACTATACCGACCGAGCGACCGCCGCTTGTCGGCGAAGTTAGTGCCAATTTTTGCGGATAGAGGGTGTCACGTGATTAGGGCAACGGACCCCCACGGCCGTTAATCTCAGTTTTCTAGACCGGAGCCTCTGTTTCCTTGAAATAGCTTCTCAATTATCCTCACGAGGCTGAGTGGATCCCGTTGCAGATCCACTACATCTCAGAAAATCTGTTAGCACCGGGATCGAACCGGGACCTCTGGATCTGTAGCCAGGAACTCTAACCACTATACCACAGACGCGGTCTGTATTTCAACGTAACTTCTATTAATTGTTTTAGTTGTTTATACTGACAACTTTATTGAACTTAAATTTAAAATTTCAGAACTTATGTATAACATTAGAAATGAGCCTATGAAGTATATTGGTTTGCACAAGTCATGCTTTTAGTGCCCGCTTCACATCTGAAGTAGTATCGTGTTAAAGGTAAAGTTGTCCCTGTGCTTATCTAATTAAGCACTACGCTATGAAGGCTTCTTGGAGAGTGGAGGTATAGAGCTACGTTTTCTTGACCTCGACACTAGCTGGAGGTGAGTGGTCAGTGTCACGCCCCGGCCGCTTTATCCCCAAGAAAAGAGTCCCCGATACCCACTGGATAGGAGGCTGGGTGGGCCCCAATACCGGTCTGGACTTCATGGAGAAGTGAAAATTCTTGTTCCCACCTGGACTCAAACTTCGACCCCTCAGCCGTCCAGCCCGTAGCTAGTCGCTGTACCGATTACGCTCTCCCGGCTCCACAGAGGAATATAGGCTGTATAAAAGAGATTGCATATTTATACGAAGAAGAAATGAAGCCGATAGGGGAGATCACATGGTCTAAGGCGAGTATCCTTGGAAATCTGGGTCCGAGGGTATGTCCACTTCTCACTGTGCTGCGTTACCATATGATGGCAAAGGCGTTCCCATGGCTCGATCTCTATTCAAGGGGTCTTGCTAGGTACTTGAAGACTCGTAGTTTTGCAGTTTGTTCTGACCTGGAACAGGTCTGTAAAAGCTAAAGAAGAAGACGTTTTTACTCTTACAAGCATAGCTTCAGTAATAAACGAACACGAGACCAATGGGATGTGAAATCACAGTGCGTTTGGAAAACACGTTACGTCGCATTGAAGCACCAATTACCAGTCTTGTTCTGTTTGGGACTATGTACTTTTGTTGGGTACCTCTAGAAGAGTAGACGGATAGCTTTCTTTCGAATTTGTTTTACTGTAGACTCAATGAAGCAGAATCTATGCACCGCCCAGACCAAATTATGAATGTCATATGTCGGATTCGAAGAACCTTCACAATAGCCTCATTTGTGCTGAAAGCGGGTCCATTATAAGATAACTGCCTGTTTGACCACTTAGTATCTAACGAACTTCTATGTTGGTCGTGAATCCTCCTCCGTGGCCTTCAGTCCACAAACGAACAATACCGACCGAGCGACCGCCGCTTGTCGGTGAAGTTAATGCCAACATTTGAGGATAGAGGGTGTCGCGTGGTCAGCTTGTTTGTTGAAATTAAATGGTAGCTGAAAGTCGTGATGATACTATCAATGTACGTGTAGAAGTAGGTACGCCCGGTGAGATCCAATTAGCACACAGGAGCAAAGTGTCGGCTGCTCCTGGCACAACAAAAACAGCGAGAATAACGGCAAGGCGCTGGCGGCGCATTTCGGCAATATGCTTTGGAGTCATTACGACGCAGGGCCCCGTCGTCCAACATACAGGTCAGGACTTAATACAGATTTCAATAGGCTCATATCTGCGTACCTGCACTAAATTACATGAATCAGGCGTTTTCGGCATATTATCGCAGAACTGTATGTCAGGCGTTAAATTGTGGCAGCTGAACCAATCACCTTCACGCAGAAAATCCTATAACGATAGCCAAAGGAAAAGGTAGAACTATCCCTGTAACAGACCGCGGAAGACCATGGGGGTCCGAGACGTCGAGGCTCCCACATTTTCCAGACAATCGGCTCACAGATGGCGGTGAGATTATCAGCCTTTCGCACCGGCCGCCCTTTACCCATAGAAAGGCTCCTGGTACTCATTTCACTTAGAGGCTGGGTCGACCCCAGGGCCATATTGTCGCTGGAAGGATTAGGTAGATTGAAAAATGTAATGACCTAATCGGGAATGGAACCCGCGACCTGCCGGCTTGTAGCATAGCGCCTCAACCAACTACGCTACCGCGTGCCCCCTTCTATAAAGATAAAAAGTAGAAGGTAAAGCTATCCCTGTAACAGGCCGTGAAGGCCCACAGGGTTGTGAGATGTTGAGGTTCCCACATTTTCTAGACAATCGGCTCAGATGGCGGCAAGGTTGTCAGTCTTACGTGCCGGCCGCCCTTTACCCCCAAGAATATTCCTGGTACTTATTTTGTTAGAGGCTGAGTCGACCCCAGGGCTATAGTGCGGCTGGAAGTATTAGGTCAACTGAAAAAAAGTCCAGTGCCTCATCGGGACTTGAACCCGAGACCTTCCGGCTTGTAGCATAGTGCCTCAACCAACTAAAGATAAGACATTCAAATTCACATGTATTTAAGTAGGCACAACTTCACACCTACAGGGACTTCGACAGTTGAAATCTTAGCTGTAGGCCACATCCCATCTGAGCTGCTCTCCTGTCTTACGAATCCTTTACTAAACAGCTAGAGGGAGGCGTTCATATCAAATGCAAAACCATATATTCAGGTACTTTGCCGATCATCGTCTGAATGGAAGAGAACACTTCGTATGTGGTCCCATGCTCGAATCTAGATCCCGTGACCGGCAATTCTGTCGTTTTTGCTGTTTTCCTTATTCCATCTAGTCGAAGAGACAGTACCATAAGGCAGCGTAGTTTGGTGAGTCACTATGCTACAAGCCGGGAGGTCGCGGATTAGATTCACGATGAGGTCACTGGATTTTTTAATTGACCTTAACCTTCCAGCCGCACTATGCCCTGGGTCGTCTCATCCTCTAACAGAAACGAGTACCAGGAGTCTTCCTGTGTAGGTAAAGGACTGCCGGCGCGTAAGGCTGACAACCTCATACCCATCTGTGAGCCGATTATCTAGAAAATGTGAGAGCCTCGACGTCTTACAACCCTATGGGCCTCCACAGCCTGTTAACAAGGATAATTTTACCTTTTACCTTGGAAGAGGTCACACACGCTTCCATCAATTCACATCCTTTAAAATTCATCAATCGATCTATCATTCGACGGTGTAGTCTAACTTTTGCATGCATGGAAGCTGTGTTAACAGTAATTGAGACGCAGTCTTTTTTGTAGACGTTCGATTTATCTCTCTTAATGACAGTCTGTTACAAGCAAACGTGAGCCAAGAGACTTAAAGACTTGGTTTCTCTCAAACTGTGTTGCTGGAAGTTATGACAGCACAGTTGCAACGTTTCGCATGGCTCTTAAGTTTTATGTTTTGGTGTTAAGGCCGCATTAACGCCTTGCCGGCACAGTTAATAATTTATGCGCCGCACAGCAATTATCTTGCTCCTGCTGCTGACGTGAGTCATTTTGGGCATCCGAGTTTTTAGGACTTTATCCTTTCAAAATGCTGCATCTTCTCTGTAAAGTGTTCCCTACGGCAATAGTTTTGTCCAAACTAGCGTTCCAGTTCCGTGCTATAAAATTAAACGTTTGCGTTTGCTTCCAGGAATCTTCTCTACAAGAATTCATCTTCACCTGCCCAGTTGTAGAACTCGGAGATTGTACTTAAGGTAAGCCGACAGCATTTTATTTGAGATTATGATACTGACTGTATCTCTCATTATGCACTAGCGAACGCTGGTATGAATGGTGGATAACGAATTCGAAATAGTTCGGCCTGTTCGAGATACAATTCGGCGCTTGCGTAGAAGGACTGGGGAAAGTCACCTAAACCTTCAGTCAGAATAACCTCTGTCTCGGCCGAGTTTGGACCGACCACCTCAGTCTGCTCGGGGCGAAAATTACTTTCTGGAAACACTCCGAGAACCCACTTTTATTCGCAGTAACTGAAAAAGCCTGTATTGGGCTATGGAAATTGTATAGATAGAACAAACATGACATTGATCATTTTAGTTCTATTTCGCAGTAAAAGAGATAAAAGTAAATTTGTCCCTGTGGTTAACTAATTAAGCATTACGTCATGAAGACGTATGGGGGAGTGGATATATAGATCCACGTTTTCTTGACCTCCACACTAGCTGGACGTGAGTGGTCAGCTTCATGCCCCGGACACTTTACCCCCGGGAAAATAGACTCCAGTACCCATTGCATATTAGGCTGGGTGGTTCCCAGGGCCGGTCTGGATGACGTGGTGAAAAGAAAATTCTTGATACTAACGGGGCTCGAACTCCGACCCCTCGGTCGTCCAGCCAGTCGCTATCACGGCTCCCGATTCCCACTTCACAAAAACATCAATCGATAATAGTACATGTACTTAAAAGTGTTAGAATTTCCGAGTAACCTTTGTTTTTAATTTCTGATTGTTTGTAGGCAGTTCTGATTACGCCGTGGCGTGATGCATAAGAACAAGGGGTATTGATCTTACACTTCGAAATTTACATATGGCTCGCGACAGTGACGAAGAAATGTTTGATACTTGTCATCAGATAGCTGGTATTCATTATTAACTTGTCGTGTATAACGATATAATGCAATTGCATGTTCCCTTCAGAAGAACCGTATGAACAGATATGTCGTAGCGGAAGGAAGTGGTGCTGAGGAATACGTTTAGGCCCACGAGATAGGGAAGCGTAGGTAAGGAGAGAAAACTGGACGATGGTGTTTTGCGTCGTTTGTAGTCTTCGTAAAACATTATTAGGATAATTAAATGAAGGGCCGTGTGATGGGTGTGTCATGGGGTACGCACGCGAGATGTGAGAACTATATACAACATTTCAGTCAGAAGACCCGAAGAGAAGAGGTCACTTGGGAGAGACAGACGTAGAAGAGAGAACTTAAAAAGCCCAGTAACGGGCTCTAGATGAATCCGTTTTTCATGGAAAGTGTGTAATTTCGCTACTATCAGCTTCTTAAGAAATAATTTGCTGTATGGAGTTATTTAACGTTTTATTTTTCGTACAAGAATTATAACAGCCTGATCTGAAGATAAAGAATTGAAGATGTGACTGAGATCTTAGGTACATCATTCGATCATATGAGCTTCAGCTGAAACGTTTTGAGAATTCACGGCAGAAGTGTGAACCGTGCCAAGTACACGTATTATTTCCAAATATCCAAATGTTACTTGGACTTTTAACGGAATCATACCTCTTTGTGTTCGATTCCCGGCGCTACCAGATTTTCTGAGTAGTGGGTCTGGAACGGGGTCCACTGAGCCTCGTGAGGATAATCGAGGAGCTGTTTCAAGGAAATCGCGGCTCCGATCTAGAAAACCGAGATTATCCGCCGTGGGGATCCATTGCGCTGACCACGCGACATCCTCTATCTGCAAAAGTTGGCACTAACTTTGCCGACAAGCGGCGGTCACTCGGTCGGTGTAGTCCACTTGCGGACTATAGGCCACGGAGTTTGTTTTTGTTGTATAATGTTTAGAGTAACCGAAGTAAGACTATTAAATAACTTTTGTTTATGTCATAGGCTGCGTTCATTGTGCCAATATACTTTTCCTGCTCTTCACGTTTAGTTATCATAGTTAACAGTTTGTAGCACTGCAGTTTTAGGTAATGAATAGGTTACTATATGACAGAGTATATGGCTGAGAATGGCGTGACTTTGTGGAATTAATAAATGGTACCTATTAGAGCGCAGAGTATTTGTTATATATATATATAAAATTGTTAGGAATTTAATAAAACTTTCCTTGGTTGCAGAGATTCACTGCCATCTAAGAAATCCTGAAGGGACTGTATTTAAAATTATCCTCCGAGTGCATGTAATAGGACGTACGGTTTGTGCAGAAGGGCCAAGTTACTACTACGCAGCAGGCGATGGCGTGAGTCGATGCGTGCTGCGATCTGTCTTTAATGAGAGACGTTGAAAGACATGCAATTTGATCGTTTATCAGAGAAGAGCGTGAGGGTTACAACTGTAGTGGTATTATCGCAGTTCGTATTCCCACCACAGTAATCTTCAAACGTGAGAAGAAATATTGAACTTGTGTAAGGAGATAGAAATATTATGCAACATTTATTGAAGGTAGTTTCTTTTAAAAATGTAAAATGTAACATGGCGACCGTACGTAATATTTTTGTATGCTGAATTTAACGTACGAATAATTCTAGTCTGTGAAATCTGTTCAGTATTTTAAATACATCTTCTCTCATTAAAGTTGGCTGGTCGTGCCGTATCTCAGGCGGTTAATCGCCGGTTTCTCATCGCGACTGCCCGGGTTCGGACCCAAGTCAGGTTTTGTGGGATTTGTAATGGGCAAAGTGGCACTGGGGCAGGTTTTTTCGAATACTTCGGTTTCCCCTGTCAGTTCTCATTCCACAAAACGCTCCATACTCATCTATCCGTGGATGGTACAGAAATTCCTATTAGTGAGCGCCGTAACTAGTGGACTCAGTCTCACCCCACCCAAAGAAAAATCTATGTATCCAGCTAAGAGATCGAATGATTTCATAATTACCTACCCATCTAAATGATTTAGTGTTTAAGTAGCGAAGTGACTGACCACACAATTTGTTCGCTAACTGATCGTCTGACTCAGTGATTAACATGCAAAATTTCACGCAAGCCATGATTTGGGAAACATAATATTCACCTTAAGGATGACTGGCTCTGGCTCTAGAGTAAGCCCTTCTGATGCTGAGACAAATGCCAGCAGTGGTAACATATTCACGGCGACTTGCTGCTGGCAGCGTTTGTCTAGTTAGCTTCGTTTTCAGAAACACAATGAAAACTAGACTAAGGAGGTAAAGGTAAAGGTGTCCCTGCCCTTAATTATTTAAGCATTATGCCGTGTAGACAGATGGCGGATTGGAGGTATAGCTCCATCATTCTTGACATCGGCACGTGATTGAGATGAATGGTAACCTTCACGTTCCTGCTGCTTTACTTCCGGCGAAAGAACATCCGGTGCTCATTGGATAAGAGGCTTGAAGGACACCGGAGCCGGTCTGGACTCTGTGGAGAAGAGAAAAATCGTGTACTGCCGGGAATCGATCCGTAGCACGTTGCTCTACCGACTGAGCTATCGTCTCGACTCAGTAGATAGAGAAGAGCCCTACATTATCGCAGTCCTCTCGTCAGTCGAGCTGCCGGTATTCGTGTGTCACTATACGGCAGTTTTCTATTTTCTCCACCCACGTTATGTGTCTCATGGATCGATTGCCCTGTTTCAAAGTGAATGCATAATGGGGTGTTACAACAATTATAGGCTTTTATTTACTTGCGTACTTTATTCATCCTATCTTTGTGTATATGTACATATATGCTTTTTCTCGTCAGAGGGTTATAATTAAACTTTAAACGCTCCAGTAATTAACTACATAGCATCTCGTGTGTAATTATCACATAGATCTAGGATACCAACTCGTGAAAAAGAAATTTCCCATTCCTCACATGGTTGTCCATAAAACTGGCCGGTATTCTACGCCGGGAACAGTAATACTGTGATCAACGTTTTGACCACCGGACACCCGAGGAATAGTTTACAACTATCGTAAAACTTGAGTTACCCTGGGACATGGTTCAAACTGAAAACGGAGGTGTCGAACTAGCGGGGTTCACCACGCTTGCGCGGCTGAAAGACGCTCTTGATGCCAGAATCACAAGTGTCCAGATTCACTATTTGATCAATTTATTGGTTGCTTATTCGCAACGAATGGCCCTAAGGTAGTTCACATCGAAATTTAAAATCCAAATTTGGTACTCCTTGGGAACTACGCAATTCTTGCTACTTCTGTTGCCTGTGCACCGGATACAGATGTACTCCTACATGCACATTTCCGGCACCACTGTTTTAGGCGCATGTACCAGATGAGTTGGCCCCGAAATATTGTGAAGTCATTTTCAGTGTTTATTGAGGAACGCGGTCTGGAAAACCGAGATTAACGGCTGTGGGAATGCGTTGCGCTGACCACGCGACACCCTCTATCCTCAAAAGTTGGCACTAACTTCGCCGACAAGCGGCGGTCGCTCTGTCGGTATAGTTCGCTTGTGGACTAAAGGCAACGGAGGAATTGAGGTCGAACATGTTCAGTGGCTCTTCATAAAGACTTTCATGTGCTTCTGCGCGTATTTCGCTATATATGGTCTTCTTCTTCCTCCATTCATTCATTCCTGTTGCTCCCACTTGGAGCATAGGGTATCCGTGAAACGCTTCGTTTCGCTTCAGGCTCTTAATTTGACCGTCGGTAGGACTCCGAGAATATAATCTGCTTCAATTTCTTGGTTGAGACACTATGCTAGAAGCCAGGAGGTCGGGGGTTCGATTCTCGATTAGGTTACAGGATGTATTCAATTTACCTCATCCTTCCAGCCACACTATGGCCCTGGGGTCGACTGAGCCTCTAGCAGAAATGAGTACCAGGAGACTTCCTGGGGCCTAAAGGGCGGCCGGCGTGTAAGACTGACGGCCTCACCGCCATCTGTAAGCCGATTGTCTAGAAAATATGGGAGCCTCGATATCTCTTCACGTCCTGTTACAAGGATAGATTTGCCTTACCATTTTACAGCATGTCTCTTACGGCAACAACACTGCAAGGAACAGCGAACCGGAAGAGCGGTTCTTAACATTTCTGCGCTTCGCAGATATACGAAGTATTAG